TTGTACATGCGACAGCCTCCTGGGTTTATCAGTACTGACCATCCCCAACGAGTCTGCCGTCTTCACAAGAGTCTGTAGGGTCTCAAGCAGGCACCTTTGTGCTGGAACCACACCATTGATCAGATTCTTGTTCAAGCGGATTTTACTCGCGTTAAAAGTGATTATGGCATTTACGTGTCCCACTCCTCTCCTCCTACCTATGTTGCCCTTTATGTCGATGACCTTCTTATCCTGTTGAAGTCGCTTACTCAGATTAAATCTGTCCAATCCCTTTTGTCCTCAAAATTCCAGATGAAAGATCTTGGTCCCGTCACCACGTTCCTGGGTCTCAATATTCGCCAGACTCCTCGATCGGTTACTCTGTCTTTGTCTTCATATCTGACCTCTATCCTCCAGGACTTTGGTCTTGATACCTGCAATCCTGTAACTACGATGTCTACTACAACTGAGTGGATATCTGTCCATGATGTCCCTCTGGCTGATCCTACCCTCTTTCGCAGCATGGTGGGGAAGTTGTTATTTGCTGCAAACACGGATCGACCAGACATCACTTTTACTGTTGTAAAACTTAGCAGATATTTTAAACAGCCGAGTCAAAATCATCTCAATATCGCAAAGCCTGTGTTGAGATACTTGAAAGGAACTATAAATGATGGCATTACCTACACTCATACATCAGGTGTTGAGCTAAAAGGTTTCTGTGATGCTGACTGGGGAGGGATTTTAGAAGACAGAACATCTACAACTGGATACATCTTCATGCTAGCAAATGGTCCTATTTCATGGAAATCCAAGAAACAAAACTCAATAGCAACATCCACCACTGAAGCTGAATATATGGCAATAAGTGATGCTGTAAAAGAATTATTATGGCTAAAACAATTGATGAAGGAGTTATCTGTTTTGGGATCATATGTCCCTATACTGTTTGGTGACAATGCTAGTTCAATATCCTTAGCAAAACACCTTACTCAACATCAACGCACGAAACATATAGATATACGATATCATTTTATTAGAGATCATATCTTAAAGGGAGACCTACAAATTGAACACGTTGACAGCCCGTCAAATATTGCTGACCTACTTACTAAGCAGTTAGTCAGAGAAAAACTTAACTCCCTAAAGAAGAAAATGCATTTTGCAAAGATTTGATCCAATCCACGACTATGGTAGGGTGTTGATGTTGAAACTTTGTTTTGATAAGTGTAATGTCTACAGTCATTCTTCCTTCAATAGTGTGACTATGTATCAGATAGTTAATATCCTTGGTATACCTTAGTCCCCCACTTATAAGTGGGATATGACACACCCTTATATATTATTTGGTTAGTCTCACATGCATATCTCAACAAGACCAACAAACCTTCATATCAGGATAAGTCACACAGTCATGACATAATCTATGACTATCATATCTCAACAAGACCAACAAACCTTCATATCAGGATAAGCCGCACAGCCATGATATAATCTATGACTATCTTATCTCAACATTATCAAATTCAAAGATCTTGCATTTGATAATTGCACGACTATCAAAAGCAGTTTGGTGAAGAATAGCTCCAGAAGCAGCTATGCGGTATTTCTGGCAATTCAACTTCAGCTGATTTTGTTGTGATTGGACAACCTACTCATCACTACAGAATAATTCTGAGATTCTTGATAATCCTTTTGCAACGCCTAGGAGTTATGTTTGACTTTCAAGACCAAAGCTTTGCTGAACGAAGCATCGTGTCTACTAATTCCTAGATATCAACCTGTTCCGGGATAACAAACTATATGCAAAGGCTAATTCGAAGGTAAGTAATCCTGTATTTATGGTACTATGGGTCTATAACATAAACTCTATGCAGTTCCTTAGGATATGCAAGGGATTATGTTGGGTAAGTCCTATAACAAGCGTGAAACACATATTAATTGTCGCGTATCACCCTTTTGAGAGGGAAGGAATTGAGTATTATGACTGGGCCTAATAACTTTAGTGAACTTGAGAGGTAGCCTCAAAATTCACTATCTTGAGATGCGCAATAACTCCCAGTGTTTACCACCAATTTTGATTTCCATTGTTACAATAAGTGACTGCTGATACCAATTCATGTGATTCAACAACCTTGAGTTAGTGTTCCTCGAAGACTGCCTCAGAATTCATAAGAGAGTATCGTCGTAAGGTTCTAAGCTATGCTCCAATTCTACTATAAATGTAAAAGTGTTGATAAAAACGAGCGTTAAAAGTAAGCTCGTTGGGACAAAGTTAGACAAGCGGAAAATTCTAATTTAAGAAATACCTAGATCGAAAACCAACCCGTAAAAAAGAGACACAACCATGTCGAAGCCTTAAGAGTTGATACGGTCACATTGAAACTTTTTTTGTTTTCTTCGTGCTCAGGTATGTCCCGAGGCCTCCAAACACAAATTGAACATCAGCTTACTCATAAAGTTTCACCACTCTTATCCTGGCTATCCTCAACAGGCAGAATTATACAGCGCACGTGAGATTTTGCACAAGATTCCCAAAATGTACTTTTCATCAGTATCACAAATAATAAGAACCCTTTATATTGATAACTTGCTTGAGCTGTGGTTCTCTTCTAAATAGCTATAATTAGCAATGGGACATTTGTGCATTGATTTATTCAGCCCCAAAGGGCTACTTTACAATGAGTGAAATGGTCATAATGATGAGTATTAGGTAGCAAATTCTCCTAAGCGAAGCATCAATCATCGCCGAACGTGAATACTCCAGTCTATTGTAGCTGCTTCAAACGACAGCCGAGAAGAACGATAAGGTGACTTTTCTTCAGCTAAATGACTCTTATAATACGCTTATACTGAATTTACGGCCACTAAAAAAAAGAACATCGGCTGGCCGAACCCCTTAACCCAAGAGGGAATGCCTGAAGATCACCTTATCATCACACAATCGCTATTTTCAGCTGTCATGAATAGTTTTGCATATTTGATCAATCAGCGCCCACCCACAAGGAAGGCCGAGAAAGTAAGTACCATATACTATTACATTGTGTGTATGAGTTACATCCACTTGAGTATTACAAGATTTTTCTTTGAAGGACAAACTGTATGTCTTCTATCCGTACTTTAATGGAACGGGTTTCGACAAGCCAGCCACTCATTTGATCCTGAATCAAAAGTGTGCGGTTCAGGGACAAGATGTGGTAGTGGTCTATCACTAGTATCGGCCGCTTTCGGATATAGGATAATGTCTCAGATGTCAAAAATGCTATGGAGGGAAAATTTCTGTCTTTACAATCTCATGAAACGGCCCAAATTTAGTTGCCCTGAGAGTTTGTGATTATTCATCTTCAGTCATTGAAGCATGTAACTGTGATCCAATCGATCGTAAAATTGTCAACAAGCTCTACCGAATTGTTTCACTATGGTACCTGATTTTCTCCGATTACAATTACTCATTGATTTACTATGCTTGAAGTTGGTTTGTCAATATCCGGTAGTCAGCAATGCAATCTTTCTAGGCTTGGAACAAAATGCATTACAGCTCAAAATAAATACTTTTTTGCTGGATTTCAACTTCATATAAGAGACATCAGAACTCAATTTTTTAACTTCTCGATGTAGAATTAATTTTGACGGGCACCATCAATACTCGGACATGGTTTATTGTGTCAGCAGACTTTGCTTACCATTTGTTATCTACGCCTGTATTGTGGTATGAAGATCACACGATAACCTCGCGTGTGCTGGTAGATCTTGAGTTTACGTTTCATTCGCACCTGAAGTATTAGGGTGATCTTCATGACTCATTATTAGCACCTTAATTCTATAATTGCATGGAAGCAGGGGCTCCAACATCACAATATAGTCAAATCAGACAGGATGACTGGCTTACGAGCATTAAATCACAACTCATAGCTTTAAAAACCAGATCTTTAGACTATTCACCATGAACCCGACATATATATGGAAGAGGCGATAACTCGATGGTGTAACTATAGACACACAAATACTGGCCTAATGACCAAATCGTGAAGGATCCCTTGCTCATGAGATCAAACGGGTTGATACTCCATAAGCTCCAGCAATCATGGAGTGCTGAGTTCTATTGACGTGAAAGCATTGATTCCAAATCTTAAGAATACAACAAACTATATACTATATAATCACTAAGCACACTGTAAATCCGCTATTGCAAAAAAGTGTTTGAGGGAAATACACTCATTTTTAAAAAATTCAGGATCTAACAATAAAGCATCAACCTGCTATGATATGAGGAACCATCTGTTGAGATAAGATAGTCATAGATTATATCATGGCTGTGCGGCTTATCCTGATATGAAGGTTTGTGGGTCTTAGCACATGCATAGCATGTGTATCAGATCCAGATGATGGAAATCTGAAACACATATGAGACTAACTGAACAATATATAAGGGTGTGTCATATCCCTTATGAGTGAGGGACTAAGGTATACCAAAGATACTAACTATCTGATACATAGTCACATTATTGAAGGAAGAATGACTGTAGACATTACACTCATCAAAACAAAGTTTCAACAGGTACCGCTAAAACAAGGTAGTGATGCTCTTTGTTCCACGTTTGGTTTCAACAATATGCCACCTTATATAGTGAGTGATGTATTTCTACAAAGAGAAATTTCTAGCCCTAAATTTTCTTCAGAAAGCCCAGAAATACATATATATATATGAGCAATATGTAACAGACAACATCAGCTGTTTTCAAAAACATAGTATCAGAATTTATGAGCATACTCTAGTGGTCAGGTAACCAAACAAAAAACCTCAGCCATCGATTTGGGCAATCTTATATAGACCAACTCAAACAAGAGTATACGTGTTTGAACGAAACAATTGGATGAGACAATAAGGACGAGAAAACTAATTAAATCTAAGATATATAAAGGTACCCTAAATCACCGAACGTGCTTAGGTTTGGGTCTATACAAAGCAGCCGGACCTGATGGATTAGGGAGATCACACTAAGTTTCAATCGAGGCGACACTTATTGACTAATGCACTTTTAGTGCTGGTTACTATCACGACCATATCACTCACTGCGAAGTAACGTGTCACAGCCTAAAGCTACAATGTAAAAATCAACCAACTGCTATTCGTGGCAATTAACAATAAAAGCCAGTTCAAAAAAGACTACAGATTGGAGGCTTGTACGAATCCGAGCAACTTCATTTACTAGGGATGTAGGATTTAAGTGATTTGGTACTTGCCACTATTAGTGATAGTTGTGCAGTTCCAAAGGTAAAGTTATGTGACTTACTTATATTTTCCTTCGTATCTGACACTATAATAATACGGAACAAGCAGTCATGCAACATTCTGCACTCTCTTACTTATATCAGTAAGTTATGAATGTTGATGAGACTAACTCACCCGCAGGACTATACAATATATTCTATGGATTGTGAAAAACAGAAGGTCATTTGCTACGTTGAGCCGCGTACCTCTCTAGTTCGGATAGAATGCATGACTGCATTATCAGAATAAAGGGGGAAGTATCATCCCTTGCTAATCAGCCAGCAAGCAGAATCATACAGTTCAAATTATAAAGCACCCATTTGTGAGATGTTTGCATCCAATCCTAACACGCCCTATAGTGGTAGGAATTAGTAGTCACAAACACAGTTCACTCATTTGATTCACTGATATCAAAATAAACTACATGACCACAGCAAACTGCGTACTAGGTTGCCGGCATGTGTATACTCTTATCTTTAAATCTTTTGAGCTCGTATAATGGTGCACTCATACATTGTTTTATACAATTTATCATGAAATACTAAATATAGGAACCTTCTGTCTAGATTAGTGAGATGGCTATATACGTGGTTTCTAGACTGGGTTTGGAACTATGTTATCAAACCTCTTATCACTCAGCCATACATGATCACTACAAAAGTTGCTCTCACATAATCATCAAACAATTCCAGAAAAATTGTTAATTAGAGCTATTACCTATTACAAGCGTTAGGGCCATGATAGGTACACAATGCGAGCATAACAAATCTGATCAGATACAGGGCAATATCAAGGTGATATCTGATAGTGCGTGCAACCCATATCAGTGGCGAAGAGCTTATCAGTGGATATCGGCATATATTCTCTCAACCCAAAATGCCAACATATTGTTACCAAAATGACATTTCTTCCTCTTGGTTGCCGTTGGGACAAGGTAGTCATGAAGTCATCCCATTTTCCCAAAAACCTCTAACTGCATAAAGGATGTGTGAGGGAGGCGCATCATATTTCCAACGTATCTAAATTGAGCAATTCAAAATGAATGAGTCGTTGCCGAATATTGAATGAGCACAAGCCAGTGTAAAGATTATATATTCATTCAAGATATTCGCCGCAAGCTACAATACTGGCCTATTTGATGGTGTCCGAAAATGATCCAGTCCTTGTCTAGTATACCGATTGGTTGGTCAGTGCAATGCTCGATCGGGTGACTCGTTGGAGCTTCAAAACATATCTCTATTATTTCCTCAGAAGATACGAAACATCTTTATCAGCATATTTATTTTTGCATTCTCTTTTTTAGGATCAAAAGTATTTGGCTTTGAACAATCACTTATTGATGAAAGCTCTTGAATACATGATGTTGGAATGTTCCCATATAGTAAGTAATATATGGATGGATTAGGAGCAGACTTTCTCCTTCAAATCATTTAATTTACTTGAACCTCGATAGGAAAGTTATATAACTCTACATTCCTTATTCGTTGAATTGATAAAAGGTTCCATGGTGCTGCAACTTTTATATTGATCAAGATAAGGATATTGGATATGAAGGGGAAGAGTCTTATCTGGGTCAATACTAATCCGTGGCGCTCGCACGGTCATCTTAACGCTTTTCCATAAACCTGGCAGTCAGTGATTAATTTTGCGCCGAATGCACTTCATATTCCAGCCTTTCAAATTATAATTTATGTTCTTACTACACCTAACAGCACTTGTTGTACTTTGCATGCATCCTCAAACAGTAATTGATATTTGTAGTTTGGTTTTCAAACGGAAGCTGGATGCTTAGATAAAACTAATTATTTAGCTTCCATGGTAGATAGGGTGATAGATCTTGCTTTTTAGCTTTGCAAGTGGTAGAGGTCTTGACCATAAAACCCCATCGGAGGTCAGGAACGCTCAAAACTTTCCTCCTCAGTCAGCATCACAAAATAAAAACCTTGCCTCATCAAGGAAGGCTTGATACCGGAAGATCCTGAATACTATAGCACGTGGATTTTGTGCCTCTATAATACCTATCATCTCTGGCCTGGCTATCTCGCGACGCACACAGTACAAGGAACAAAAAACAAACCTCCTACCATGCTACAATATCAGACCGAATTGGGAAGAAGAGCATCGGATGTAGATAAACTCCCAGGTGAGAAAAGTGCCCTATGGTGATGCACGCTGTTACCCACACTAAGATTGAATAAATGGTATTTTGAGTCACATCCAAAATACCAGATCAAATTATGCCCCTGCCTAAGGCAGTCAATTCATATCTAACGAACGCATGATAAGATGGCCACTTGTGAGAGGTACGGTGCCAACACCTGTAACCTCACAGCAACACTTGAGCCCATAAATAAGAGCTCAAGAGCGAGACAGCTGTTCAAGTTGAGACATCTTTATGTTCATGTTATCACTTCCTGAGCTAGGGTACTAGTTTGTATCTAGACGCTCAGACGGCAGGCCAGAATCAAATTTGGACAGGTTCATACGGTATTCACTAAATCTGGACATATAATCATTGCAGGAATAGATCTGCTTATCAGCAAAATGAGCAATACTTTTGGAGATACCACAATCGTATAAGGACTCTGTGACAATGGATGTTTTTTCTGTTGACTCTTTAATTCAAATGAATCACCTCTTTTGAGCTTTTCTCTGAACGATTGATTAACAAACGCCCGACCAGTGTGTTTGATTTCAAGCAAATTTGCAGAAAATGGCTGGGATTCTTTAACAGTATTAAAGGTCGTTGTAGATGAACTGAGAATCGAAATTTCAGCGTCCTGATTATCAGGCTAAAACTAAACAAAAAAGGCTCATTCAAACCTCGCCATGGGAAGAGCAGTGTCCATCTATTTGGCTAGGCACCAAGCCCTAATCCAAGCTCTGTCGTAGTCTCGATTTTAGTGTGGAGTTTATCATATCTTTGCAATGATGACGAGAGTTTGTCTCACAAACTCTCATAAGCCTCTTTGGCTTAATCTGATGGCTCGCCACGAATGAGGTTATTGAGGGCTCTATCGAGAAGCTTGAAAACAATAAGGTTGCTGACTTTCGATTAAAGGAGCTTTGTCATATGATTTAGCTAGACCTATTTGTTCCTCAGAATGATTCAGTATGATAGGCGATTTGCCTGGTTGAGCTAGACAATCAAATTTGGATCAGCCTCCTTCATAGCCGTTCTATATAATTTTATGAGGGTTAGTTGCTTGGATCCGAAACCCCGTTCGTATGCAGGAAGTAACCGACAGTCTCGTAACCATTTGTATCCTATCAGTAGAATCAGACATGTTTAGCAAAGCGAAACATGATTTCAGTGACCAAACACTATACAGTTCAACTGCCTTAGAAACAAGCAAGGGAGATATTCGTCACTTATATCTTTCACAATTATAAGTAGGTACGGAGAACGGAAAAGATTGTTGAAACTTTGTTTTGATAAGTGTAATGTCTACAGTCGTTGCTCTTACTTCAATAATGTGACTATGTATCAGATAGTTAGTATCTTTGGTATACCTTAGTCCCTCACTCATAAGGGATATGACACACCCTTATATATTGTTCAGTTAGTCTCATATGTGTTTCAGATTTCCATCATCTGGATCTGATACACATGCTATGCATGTGCTAAGACCCACAAACCTTCATATCAGGATAAGCCGCACAGCCATGATATAATCTCTGACTCTCTTATCTCAACAAGCTCAGCTCGCAAAATCAGATTACCATTCGAATTTTAAAAGCGTACTCTTTACAGCTATACCAGTCACTATCAATTTTTTTATTAAACCTAAAGTCAAAAGCTTAGATGCATAATTATAATGTCAGCTTACAAACTATTCATTCTATCCCCGCCATAGGACATAACTACAGCACAAATCTCAAATCTTTTATTGCTTGCCGATCATCCAAGCACAATAACAGGTCTCGGATATCATAAAGGTAGGAAAAGATACCCAAATCATCAGAAGACTTACTCGCGTGCATAAGATGACAACGCTCATTGTGCGAAGGCTGAAAATCTTTTATCTCGAATCTGAATGGATTTATCTTTGTATTTTAATTGGGTCAAACTTTGAAATAGGCGAGGTGGGGGTGATAATAGAAATTTACTTAAGCCAGTAATTGACCTGTATTTAGTAATCAAGTGCTAGCAGACTTCAGTGTGTCAGAGATTGTAATCGCATTTCAAAGGCAATAGCTTTGAAAATATAATCACTTATTTCATTGAGCTAATGCGCTATAAGGCCCTCCTCTTCTATGAGAGATGGTGTCAATACCACTCTTCAATGTTTAATTTCAAGACTAGCTTTCGTATAGAGCCATCAGTCAGATACTATCTCGAGAGCCGGTTGAATCAAGCAACGTCAGCCCAGGTTTTATTACAGTGCTACTATTGATTCCTTAAATTAATCCCAAAGAACCTTTACTCGGCATATATTTCTATATACAAGTTTTCAATAGAATTTAATAAAATCTAATTTTAAATATTTGCTATCACGCAGATAATGAATGACAACTCGGTTCATATAGATCAAATTTGTGTGACTAGCGACTACGATACCGCAAAAAATCTTGATTGTTGCTTAAATTCTTTTGGCTTTGATGACTACTTGATAATCACTAGCACTGCTTCAACGCCTCATAAGGTACAGGATCTAAAGAAAGAAGCAAAATAATAAATGCTTAGCAAGATAATTTGCACGACAGTGATGACGTGACGATAATATGGCAGCAAGTTTTGGTACTAGAATAAAGTATGGCAGCAACTATTAGTACTAGAATAAAGTAAGTATGGCCAGTCTTTTCTCTTGTGATTAAAACCAAAAATTTGAATAATGAAGCATACATGGCCGAGTGGTCCAAGGCGGTAGACTCAAGTTCTATTCTCAGTGATGGGACGCAGGTTCGAACCCTGCTGTATGCAATTAATTTTTTTTTTCACATTCGATTGTGTAGATCTACGGTAGGAATATCTCCAAAAGCGGTACTCGAATGAGCAATTAAACTGCAGCGGATACTATCATAGATTGGTGTTCAGTTTTTGTGAAAAGTAGTAGGACTACAAGATTTGAAGGAAACTCGTTGAGGTCAAAAGTCTGAGTGAGCATAATGATCCACCACCCACCAAGAATAGTACGCCAGTAAATATTGCGATTTTCTTTGAAATTAGTGATATATTGCTCCACACAACCTGCTAAAGGTAGGTATGCGCCACATATAATTTGCCCAAAGAGAGCTCCGATTTCAGCGAATGTGAAAAGTAGTCCCATTCGGTTTTGATTTTTTTCAACACCAAATAATTGTGGGACGACAGTTGGAAATAAAGAAATAACAACTTCCGAAGAAAAGCCCCATGTTACATCAAAGATCAAAAAAATGATGTCAGAGCTAGACGAGTTGAGCCAGAGAGTTGAAGGAAGAATACCCGATAATAACATGAAGGGTATAAGAACGTTGAGTCGACCAAACACATCAGCTAAAAAGCCGCGCAAGATTCTACCAAACAAACTGGCAACATTCAAGAAAGTGACATAATGAGCTGGATCGAATAACGATCTGTGTAATCTCTGTGCTAAACGCTGGCCGTACAGATCAGTAAGAAACAGACCAGGAAACAGTGCCATTTGTGAGAAAACGAAAGCAAATAACAAAATCAAACATTTCCGGGTTCTTAGTATTGTAAGATCATAATAAAACTGGAAGCGATACAATGAAAGGAAGTTCTCAGTTTCTTGAAGTTTAACGGGCAACCCAGGTCTTAGAAAAAGAATTAGTGCTGCTGCCACTGGGATATAGATGAACCCCAAAATCCTGTTGGTCCGATTTACTCCCACCTCTGATATGAGCCTCCTCACAGCAATCGGCCAAATTATTCCACCGATGCTGGAACCAGAGCTGGCAACTCCAATTGCAAAAGCCTTTTTTTCTTTTGAACCAATGCATAGGTATCGTTAAGGCAGAGAAATATATTATACCACTTCCAAATCCAAACAACGCTCCCTGCGTAAGGAACAACTGCCATATGTTGTTCGTAATAGACATCATCATCAATGAAAAGAGCTGTATCAGGGCACCCAATGCAACTGTGACTTGAACGCCAAAATAGTGATGGAGATAGACTGTCACAGTGCAAAAGAAATACATACATGCAGGTTGTAAAGAACCTATGATAATGATTTTGAATGTTTTTTCTCCAGAATACAACTCAGTTTGGTAGCAAGACTGATACACACCAAAACTCTTAACCATACCGAATGTGCGTGCCATTCCACACCAAGATGCCAAGACGACAAACCATCCAAATCCTCCCTCCGGGAACTCATCCTTGTCAAATTCCATAGACTTATTCATTTCACCCTCTTAATTTACGTTTAGTTCTACTTAGATCTGAAGGTGTGAACTTTGGGCTTTTTTATAAGGCCTGCTCTGCATATAAGGCTTGGGCATCGCTAGTTGCCGCCCGCAATTTGCAGTTCCCGCTAAACGGATCATTTTTTTTTTTTTAGTCTGAATAATGCGATTTCGGTGCATCGCGATCGCGATCCGCATTTTTTCCGCGAACGGACCGCTCGCATGATAGAGTTTTTGACCCTTGTATGTGTATCACTTATTTGTGTTGCATAAAAGATTAGCCTAATAGTATCTATAACACAGATGGTTAACCAGCAGAGTGAATCAAACGATTGAGAATAGGAGGGCTTGCACGTACTGCAGGTTTCGGAGAATCAAATGTGATGGCGAACAACCTTGTTTTCACTGCAGACGACGTGCTCAGCTTTGCGAATACCCTACTGAAATAGGAAGCAGCTTAACGAGAAAATGCCACTCAAATTATAACGTTGACCGCCAAAGACCAACCCAGGATGAATATATTCGTTATTTGGAGAACAGGATTCGAAATCTTGAGAATAGCTTGATGAATAAACTACCAAGAAATGCATAAAGTAGCAATAAAACGATTGACAATGACGTGTTGTCATTGGACGGAAAGAGAACCGAAAGAGTCACAAGATACGATGCAGTTTTAGCTAACAAGATAGGAAAGTCTCTTTTCTTCGAATTACATACTAGCAAACGTGAAGGGCTTTCCATTCCTCGCTTACAATTTATGGATGGGACATGTCAGGAGGCCACTATCTCAATCAACTCTCACTTGCAGTGCAGCCACTGATCTTAACTCCTAGTAAGCGATCAAATCTTTGTGCCTGGCCGTTAGAAATTTTCTTCCATAAGGTAAATCCCCTATTTTGCATGATTCACGAGTATATATGGACCAATACCATAAGTATGTTAATGATCTGATAATGGCAACGAACGCAAAAGCTGCCAAGCTATTCAATGCGATTCTCTATTTGATATTTGCAATAGCCATCAGGTTCTCGGGAATTCATCCAGAAAGACCACATAAGATTTCGATAGAACTCAAACCTGGAATAGAGGAAGATTTGTTTCACTCAGCATATGAAACCGCCTCAAAATTAAGTCTTGAGTGGCAATCCCTTGAATCAACTCAATCGTGGGTTTTGATAACATTCTCTTTAAGAGCAGCGCACCGTCAAACTTCATCGTATACTTCATTGGGATTGCTAGTAGAATGCGTAAAGGAATGCTGCTCAAGATTGATATCATTATTAAGACAAACAGGGACCAAGAGTATGAAGAGATCAAAGCCAAAAGGATGTTCTGGTTAGTTTATACTTGGGACAGATTGTACTGTTGGCAAAGCGGAAAGCAGTTTGAAATTCAGGACGAGTCAATCAATATGGAATTCCCCCCACACTAGATGGAACCTCATGTAGTGATGGATGGTTGCAAAAACCAGCACTTTAATGATTTACCTGGGGAGATATTCAAGCAGACTACAACAACAAGCCTTTGGAAACAAGAGTGTCGATGAGACTTTTTCGAAAAATATTGCAGCTGAGCTCTCACACTTTAGGAGCTGGTGTGACTCAAATATGTCCTGCGATGAATTTGATCGGCTGTTGTTGGATCAAGTATACTTAACTTATCACGACATCTATTTGGCACTTTACAATAAGCAACTCTTAGAACTGATTGACTGCCATTCCTGTGTTAATTGGAGCTCCTCCGATATTATTCTTCTGAGAGAGCAAAGCAAACAGACGCTTGATATCTTTGAAAACATGAGGAGCCAAGCAGAACTGGAAGTTCCGTGGTGGACGAATTTGCTCTTATGTTCAACATTTCTCTAATAAGTGTTATTTTAATATACTCTGGTATTCAAACCGAGGAATTTGAAAATACTTTCAAGAGAGCAATGAGCTTGCTTGAGGCAGTCAAAGGAAAAGCATCAATGTCTGCAGTGTGTGCGTGGGCGATCAAAACTCTGAACCATATGCGTTGTTTGAGAATGCAAAAGGCAGCTAATACTTTGGCCCAAATTGGAACTGATCACGGCCCAAGAACAGTGAATGAACATCGGTTCTTACAATTTGATCATGTTGGACGAGGATTCAATGATGATAACATTGTCAGCTCCCCAACTGGTAGCTTGTCAGGGATTAAATCATCCAGCATGTTAGACAACGAAATTGATTCCTATGCATTTCTAAACTGGTTTCATCCTTGGTTGGAGGAAGCGTTTTGAATCCTCAAAGACTTTCATTATGTCGTTAGCTGGAACTTCTAGCCTTAATTGAATCATGTTCTACCTAAAATGATTTAGGTTGCATAGTTTGCAAATGGAGGTCAACGCTACCAGCATTTATGTGTAGACATGCTATAAATTAGGTATGGGGAAAAAGTTTTGTGGTACCAAGAAATGTGTCGGGGGAATAATATTTGGAGGCGGGAGGGAATTAGAATCGAAATGAAAAAGTTTAGGAGGTGGAGGAGAGTGGAAAAAAAAGTGGATGGTTCAATATGTAGATTTTGGAAAAACTTAAATTGAGGAGGAAATTTTAGGTGAGAGATGCGGATGGTCTTTCATGCGAAAGCATAAAAGAAAATTTGAAAACTGAATGTGAAGAAGCGAAAGCTTCTGCGCATTTGGGGTTCGATTTTCGAAAGAGAGTTCTGAAAAGAGCTCTTCAAGGCCTCGTTGATTAGTGGAGAGAGTAAAGTTGTTATCGTCAGATACACTTTCTCTCAA